TCAACTAAGTTGAAACTGTAAATTGGCCACCGTAACGAATAAAAAAGCTGACGTTTCGAGCGTTAGCCCTTCGTAAGATTGATTGATTGATAACACATTGACACCTAGATTTAGTTTATTTCTGAAAAGACACCGAAAATGAAATTCGTGACGGGCGATTTTGTCCGCATAGACAATTATTATTTTTGCGATAGAAGGAGATGGGGAACTGGGTATGAGGTACACCACCGCAGTATCGAGACCAGCGGCAACCCTGTGAAAGTTTAAAAATGGCGGCTACCTCTGATTTACATTTCCTGAAGCGCAGCCGAGTTTGGCAAAGTGCGTGATTTTACACTCCCAAAGGAATCGAGAATGTGAGAAAATTAGCACTATATACCTGCCCCTTGCAAAGATTTTGATACTCAGTGATTTCACATTTACTGATATTTTGTTGTTATGATTACAAGTATGTCTGGAAAGTATGTTCGCTGTGTGAGCTGTGTTGCTGCTGTAAGTTCAAATATGGGGATCGGGAAAAACGGGAAGCTTCCCTGGCCTACGCTGAGGTGAGCCAGCTTTCTTAAATGTTTTCAACTATACAGATGGTGGTCTTCTTAGAAACGCACTCCATGGACAGCTTTGCCTGTGGCTCACTTACTGCTTAACATTTATTGGCATGAATTCCTTGTAACCCCATACTTGATTATGCATTCAATTCTTGGATAAAGGAAAGCAGAGGCAAAACAACAGGTTTCCTACGGATTTTTTTTTTTCGATTGGTATGGGGCTATATGGAAATCTTTCCCATTTATTCATTGACCAAAAAAAAAAAAAAAAACTGGGCAGAGTTTGGAAGTTTTAATAAATCTTCTTGCTGGTTTTGGGAAAAATAGTCAAACCTTTGCAATTTTGGCAATGTTTGTGTTCTAAGAGGACTCTTCTAAAGCTAAATCATTAATGAAGATGGCTCTCTCTCTAAAGATTATCATTACTCATTCAAATCTGCATAGTAGAAGCTTTATTTATGTTAACTCTTCACTACTGAATAATAAACTTTTTCCAAAGGTGGAAGATTTAAGTGAAATTCTTAGGGTTGGACAAGTTGATGTGTTATTAACATTTCTTACTGAAAACAGAATATTGACAGGATTTTTGTTTGTCTTTGTGAAGGACAGACTTGGAGTTCTTAGAGAAAATTACCACTGAGGTCAATGAACAAGGTGTGTTACTAGACAACCATAAGCTCACTGAAAGTGGATTATTGCAATTGATTATAAAGAGGTTGTAGGGGAAAGTCACCCAAGGCCAGAAACAAAAACTAGTCACTTGTAGCACATGGATGCTGCTAAAGCACGGCCCTAAGTGTTTGAAGCTAGAAATAGCCACTTAAAAGGTGCAGAAGGTAGGTTTTAAAGGTGCCTATAAGAAAAATGACCTGGCACAAACATACTTCTGCGCTTCCCAATTTCTACACCATCAGATATCTGTAGGTATGTATGTATGTATTTGCAATATTTAGACAGGCTAGCCCAGTTCAGCTTGAAGCTGGTTTAAATGGAGGCCTGTATATCCCACCCACCCCACCCCTAGGGAGGACATCCATCACACAGTAATTTTGTGCACGGGAAGTTAACTTCTCCTACCCCTAACCCTGTAGGAGACGGGACTTCTATTTATTCGTCCCTATCTGAGAAGACTAGAATATCTAACCATTTCTTGATGTTATAGGAAGGTAGCATATTCTTCTCAATTATTTTAAGACCTTGAGTGTTGGTCCAGCTGGGGCTTGAACCCTCTTCCTCCCGCACAACAGTCCAGCGCACTATCCATTGGGCTAACCGGGAGATAGTTGCTTTTCCCCTGAATATGACAAGAATCTTTCAGGGATTTGAGGGTTAACCTAAATGTTTATTCGATTTTTTTTTTCTCTGTAAGGGTTCAGTAGTGCCTATTTATACCTTAAGTTAAGAGGACCATAGTTGTACCATAATGCCTTGTTTAAAAAAAAAATAGATTGACCTCAGCCAGAATTTTAACCTGGGGCATGCAATGAAGGGTGCAGACACCCTGCTACTCATAATTTGTTTGATCTTGGATATTGCGAATTTAGTTTCTCAGCTGCACTTTGTGAATAGGAAACTGGTCTGTCTCCAGCTTACTAAGAATTTTTTTATGTTTACTTATCAAAACACTTGATTGTTCCTATGGGTATCAACAAGAGCCTTTGGGGAGAAAGTTACTTTCTTACAAACCTTTTGAAGCACTTTTGATTGCGCGTTATAAAACCAAAACCAAATTAATCAAAACTGCCAATCAGAAGAAAGTGAAAACAACCTAACCTCTTAAACACGAAGGCGTGCTATAAAAGGAGCCTTAGGTCCCACTGGACCATTTGTCAATCAACCATCATGTGATGTAGAACTCTTAGAGTCAAGTCAGCTTGAGCTACAGCTACTCCAAAGCAGTGAACAGCGGGCGCATTCCTTAAAATTGATTAATGTCTTCATCACAATACAAGAATTTTTAAGATTTGTATTTCCTTTCTCCAATGGAAACTGTCTTTATATGTGGTGGTAAATTTGAGATCGAAGTAGGTGGTTCGCTAGTCTC